GTGTGCTTCCTCGTCCTCTTATGGCCTGGAAGTGTGAATGCTCAGACACTGAAATTTTCCATGCTCTGTCTAAGGGGATCAGCACTTTTGTTAACTTCCTGACAGTTTCCGCCATCAAACATTAAAAAATCCAAGAAAGTCAGCAAGGACCTTACTGGTGACTGCCTTAGATTTTGAATCTGGGATAAATATGCCATGTTTCAGGCTGGAAAACCAATACATGCTCAAAGTTAAGCTATTTTTAAAAACGATTTCCCACACCACTCCAAGCAGCAAAGGATCTCCCCCATCAAATGATAGAAAATAAACCTCACCTTTATCTAGAGAAGTAGAGACCTTGCAAGCCTGGGAAATTGTACCTTCAAGGGCAATGTGTCAGACTACTATGAATGAGAAAAACAAAGCTATAGTACTAGGGTTCACTACCAAACGAGTTGGCCTAATAACTTGCAGGTCTTGGTTGCACAGTCTCTGCTTCCTGCCAGTCATATCATGGATGAGTATTAACAGCCAAATTCCGTGCAGTTACAGAATTAGGTGGGGAGGGTGGAAAGCAGCAGCAGGCAGTAAGTAGTCCTTTTTCTTTTTCTTTTTTATATGAATAAAGTTTTATTGAATTTTAGACAATTAGAAAGAACAAAGAAAAGAGGAGCAAACAGTCTCATGGAGGGTAGGAACCAGAAGAGCTTTCACAGTAGAAGAGGGGGCCTCCTGAGGGCAGTGTTCCTGTAAATGTCACACAGGGTTGTTACAAAAGCAGAGAGAATGTGTCCAGGCTTTCTTTTTAAATTGTTTTGGTTTTGTTTTTTTCCCACATTAGGTTTTCTAAAGCCACTTTTCTTCCCCCATCAATCCTACCACCCAGCAGCAAAGTGAGCAGACAGGCAGGAAAGCAGACTGCCCTGGTGAAACATGTGTACACACACACAGAGCAACCACCTGCCTGCATCACCATGGGGTTTGCACCCCCTCTAGGTGGAGTGGATGTAGAGGGGGAAGAAAAGAAAGTTGATTATTTTTTATCCTTTTTCTTTTTTTTTTTTTAATTTTTTCTATTTAAAGCGTAGAAGGCACAAAATCTCAGCCAAGTTTCAAACCTAGTGCTGTCTGGGAGCCCCCAACCTCCCAAAAAGCCAGTGTGTCCACGTAGGAACCCAGCCCTCACCTCTCCCCCCTCTTCCTCAGAGTCTGTGCTTGCATTTGAAATGTACCAGTCAGGCAGAAGGCCCTGCCCAAGGTTTGTGCACTGCTAGGGAAAGTAAAGCCGTGCCAGGACAAGGAAAGTGGGGATGAGGAAGAGTCTGTTGGCTTAAACAGACCCTTTTTCCAATGTGAGAGCTATGGAAAGTCACCTGTGACTCCCCACACATCTTTTCCAAGAGCAGACCTGGGAGGACTCTGGTGCTTTTGGAGATGACCGCTGTCTTCACATGTGTAAGGGCTGGAGAGATGCAGGAGGGCCAAGATACCCATCCAGGCACAGCTCCCTTGAGCCAGTGCTCTCTAGGAGGGTAAGTCCCAGCCCTCAGTCCAGCCTTCCAAATGGCACCAGGTTCCTTCAGCGGTTTCAACTCTTGGCTTTGATTAAGGCTATTTAGTTGCAATAGAAAAAGGATAAGTGCCAGCCACAACCACCTCTCCAGCTGCAAGGAGATGGCAAAGCCACTGGCAGGTGCCACCAGAACCCAGCCCCGGGTCATGGAGGGAAGTAGAGGAGGCAGAGAGATAGCACACGGGCTTCCAGAGTGTTACCCTTACATTAAGCCCCTACTTTTATTCTTTCAATGGAAAAGGATTTGGAAATGAATCCTGCCATCCTCAGAGCCCAGGAAGTCTCTGTGTATGGCAAAGCAGGAA